AACACTCACAGGCACACATTGACTGTCTGTGTGTGTGTGACTGCAGATCAGTGCAGTGTATCTGTTATGCAATAACTGTGGTTGTAATGAGATGTAGGCAAGCTACATGTGATCTGGGCTGTTTTGTTTAATTCTATTATTTTAATGATTTAACTTTGGTTTTATTAATTTGTTATTTGGATCAATGTGAAGCACTTCGTTACTGTACTTTGAAAAGTGCTATTTAAATCAAGTGTATTATTATTTAGCTTTGGTCTGAATCTGGAATTAAATTATGCATCACATAAATGCAATCCTGGAGCTTGCATGTGTGTGATTTAATGAATGGTGCCTTTGACCTACATAAAGGCCTTTTGTGTACACATGCAAACAATCTCATGTTTGTTTGTATGCAAATACTGCCATGCACCAGAAAGTGCTCTCTTTTCCGGGGGTGGGCATTTGGGCACTGCATGAGAGTACAGCAACACAAGTCTCACAGAGCCTGCAGTCAGTGACCACATGGAAAACAAGCGGAGACTTGTGCAGAATTCATCACCTTACGATATCAGAATTGCCCCTTTGACACCGCCTGTGTATCTGCCTCCCTCACCTGTGCAGCTTGTTTGGCTGCACGACCACAACTTCAGCATGAGTTGCGAGATCAACAGTGCTGAGTGCAGACAAATGCAGTATAACAAAGGTTCAGTACTATACATTGGCTATGCATTGTGTTTACTATTGATCAGATTTGATAGATGTTTCGTTGTTACGCAAGTGTTTGTCATTCTCTGCTCATAGAGAAGAGTTTAAAACATTCACGTAGTCTTTAAACTTATAAATAACAATGTGATATTTATCGAGGTTATTATCGATATTCACTCAAAACTCTCAGCCTGATAAACAGAAGGATAGGGAAGGTTTCCCTCCATGTTTAGTTTTTACACTGATACACAAAGTGCATAAACATCTCATAAACATCACTCTACCTGATTCTTCTTTGTGTCCATGCGTCTGGATTATCTGCGCCTCAGCTGCATAACGCGTCCGGATACACACGAGCACGTCTCTCCAGCAACTCCCCCAAACCGTTAGTGAAGCGGGAACTTCAGCCTGGAAGTAGGTCATCGAACTCGAACCGAGGACAGGCGGCTCAGCAGCACCCACGGGCGGTCAGAGGCTGGAGGAGCCTCGGTGTCTGCAGCCAGGCGCAGGGGAGATGCTGCTGTCAGTGACGGCTGCACATCATCCCCACCCCCCTGGTCTGTGCCATACTCCTTCCCCCACCCACCTTCCACACCCGTCCCTCCCTTTCAGTCCCCCAGTCTGTTACCACTGAGCTATTAATACAAACACTCTTATTGGAACAGCCCATCAAGGGCTTTTCCTCTCAGCTCATGAGAAGATCCAGTTGTTAGGACTTTTATTTCACACAGCATTTAAGTTCACATGCGAAAGCCTCAGCAGTCCAACGTGCAGACAAGCATGCAAGGTATTAATCAGCCTGGGAAAGAAAGAAAGAAACGATGAAGGAGAAAATGAGAGAAAGGATAAACACTATATAATCTAGGGTACACCGATAAATGCTGATAGAAATGTTATCTTCATTTAATCCTTGGGGAACATTTGGGATTCAGCTGAAGCACTTTCTGTCTACTTTGAACAACCACTCTTTAAATTGTCCATCAATACAAATGGAATAAAACCCTCCAGGCGTCTTATTGCTTTATTTTACCCATTGTCTCTTGTATTAACTTGTTTCAGTTTGTAATTGCACTGTATGTATTTTCTCTTTCTATGTCTGTGAAGCACTTTGTAAACATGCCATTATACATACAGTTATTATTTTTTATGAATTTAATACCCATTTTAGTTGATTCATTTTTTTGTCATGGATTTTGTGAAACACTTTGGAACCTTATTTAGATAAGTTCTATACAGATAAAGATAGTATAATTATTGTTAAGTTCAGTGTTATCATAGTAGATAGAGGTATTATTAAAATACACTGAGTTCAGTGAGGATGAGGTAGGTACAGACTCTTCAAAGCTCAGCGACCTCTAGCGGGCATGTAAATAATGGCAACCGCAAGTGTAACGTCATCACATCACCTATGACCTTTTGGACCAATCACAATACGATGCGCCCGGACACGTCCAGAGAGGGGGCGTGGCTAACTCATACCCATGAGCATGGCGGATCTGGTGAGTTTGAACATTTCCACGTGTTTTATTCACTCTGTGTGACGTCACCCTGCTGTGTGCCACGCGCATCTCTTTCAGTTCATGTGTCGCTTCAGATAAAGTTGAAAGTTCCTCTGAAGGCGCGTGATTTTAGCATCAAGGTCTTTATATACAGTCTATGATCAAGGTGCTAATGTTAGCTCACATGCTAACGCTCCAGCTAGCTAGTTCACGCTCTGCGTCATTACTGTAGATTCCCGCGTCTACATGCGCGACAATTACTGTGTGTATCCTCTGAAGCTTATTGTACAGAAGAAATTCATGTTGAAGAGAAACCAAGAAAAATCCAATGAGATATGTTCCTAAATGTGGTTATGTGAGCTGCAAACTGTACTACCTGTAGTTTGCTAACTGTTAGCTCAATATTGCCCATTTACAGTTCAGGTAGGGTCATAACTTTTGATTGTGAATGAATTTCTCATTAATATTTATCTGTTACCAGATCAGTATGCTTTAAATGAGATGTCATCATATGACCCCTTTCATATGAATTCATCAAAACCTGCTTTGTTGACTTCTGAGTGACCTGGTTAGCATGTGTCAGTATCAGTTTGTCCAGCTCACAGACTGTATATAAAAAAAGGGCCAGCTAAAGGTCCAGATTTACCACACAATGTTTTGTCATGGCTGATATAGCTGCAACAACTAAGCATCACAAATTAAGTATGGAAGATACCTTTCTTCCTGTCTCAGTCTGAAATATAGAGGTTCATTGACACATGTAACATCTGCATGACTCAAGGTAGACCTATGCTTTATGTGTAAACAAATTCGATATTGTAAAACCATACATATTTTCAGTTTACTACGCTTATTGAGACAAAAAACGCTAGGTCAAATATTTTGGTTGTTGTATCTTTAACATTTCACAACCATTCCAGAACTTTCTCAGGGTTTGGGTCTGTTGCAACATCTGACTTCTTCCATTCAAATAAATACTATGAATCACATGTCAAATGTAATAATGTTTCAATGGTGTGATTGATTAGCAGAAAGATTTAAGTTGAATATATAAAAAAAAATGTTGCAACCATCCCTACTTCCCCCCTTCATGTGAAACACATTGTTAGATTAAAATACATAGCTTAATGCAGCAGTTGAATTATTTTCAAATCAAATGCAGATAGACTTATAAAAGACAGTGTTTACGTTGTTTTGGTCTTGAAATTGCAATGAATTACAAGCTCTTTCTCTCCTCCTCACTTCTCCTAAAACAAGCTCCACAGAGCTGAATGGCAGCTGCACAAACTTAGCACTTGTTGCCTCCTCTTTTTCTCATTGGTATTCAGTGCAGCAGGAAGTGGTCCATGGGGGGAGTCTGAGCCCTCTCTCTCTGTCTCCCTCTCTTTGTGTATGTGTATGTGAGCGTGTGATGGGAGCGGGGTGTACTCTGACCCACATGGTTCAGGCAGAGACAAAGCATTCTTTCAGGGCCCCGCTCTCACCCTCACTACCAGCTCCAGACAAAAGTTTTTGCAGAGGATCAGATCCAGAGAGCAGCAGTTTAATCAAAGTGCTGCCTGTACACTGGAGCACATGTTAGCAATGATTCAAGAATTGCATCATTTAGATGAGATGTGATTGCAGTCTTATAAGTGTCGGTAACTAATGCAGCAAAATTAGGAACACATTTAAATCAGATTTATTTATCTCATCCCCTTTTAATCAATAACTAAATTATAATTCTTAAAGCATGTGGTCAATAAGACGATTTCTCTACCAGGTGGAACATTGTTTTATTCTTTTCTTGGGGTGATATCGAGACACTGCCTGCCACAATAGATTTAATGATGTTTTGAATCTAGTTATTTTACATTGAATTCTGGTGAATTACTGCACTCAATGAGACTTTTTCCAAAAAGCACAAGTGCTGTGTAGGTTTATTTTTATGGATGCAATTCAAAGTAGACAGTCAATACTCATGGATCCCTTCACTTTTTGTCACAATCAGACTGAATTAGTCCGAGAGCAGCATGAGAGCTTAGGCGGGAGAGTTATCACTGATCACAGGCTCATTCTCGTGAGGAAGCTTCTTCAGATGTGTGATTCATCAAATCAGAGAAATGCATTCAAATGTAGACGTGAGGACACAGTGAAACTCCCTGCCTCTCTTTTGTCTGCTACTGATATACTGTGTATATGCACCACACACACACACATGCATGCACACAGACAGTCATTACTTGCTCTTGCAGGATGTGTCATGTGTGATCACACCTCCATTCCCGGTCAAAAGTTATCTGTGTGCGCGTGCAAGACTTGCAAATGTGACACAGACAAAAGAGTAAAGAATGAGACATAAAAGAAAGAAGTCGGAGCCAATTTAATTCCCCTCTTAATTTTTCCCTCTCCACTCTAAACAGAAAAATCAGACAGAAGTGTTAATCTTAACTTTGACATTCTGGCCGCTGCCTCCGTCTGATATCATGAGGAAAGAGACGTCCCAGATGAGAAATATGGGTTTATGTTGAGAGGGCATGAAGACAAACTGGGCCAGTTTCAAGCAGGGATATTAGATTCATATTTAATGTCAAGGAGCTGACACACACACACACGATTCACTCTAATCATCCTCTATGCAACTAAATCGCCTGCTCGTTTTATGCGGGCTATTTGCAGTGAATCACATCTATTTGTTGGAGTTTGCACATTGTCCCTTTCTCTGAGAGCTGTCACAACCAATCCCCGATCACAAGTGTATGAGGACACCTGCTGGACATTTGTTTACATTGTATTCATTTCCAGAAAACCTCCAAAGACAAGAGCAGAGTCAGGGTCTGTCATGTGACTTAAATAAAGCCCATTGTTCATTTACTGTGCATCTGGATGTAGTTCATCACATGTGGGTTTGCTGTAATCTGGTGGGTATTGAGACACAATGAAAATACAGTTTTCTGGGTCTTATTTTTATTGAGACTTCATCTTCTTTAGTTGTTCATCATAACCTGAGAAGACAAAAGATTTAGTAATTCTTTTAAAAAAGGGAACGGCATTAAGACAATGGAAATGTTAATTCAGAACAGAGATTAATACTGTTTGCGTGTGCGTGTGTTTTTTTTTCACCATGTCGATCCAGTCGTTGAAAGCAGAGACACGGGTGAAGACAGTGGGTTTCTTCACGTAGTTGCAGCCAAGGCCGGAGACGAAGCTGGCAATGCCGTGGACTTCCCAGGCTCCCTGGCTGTTCTTGCAGTTAAGGGGGCCGCCAGAGTCTCCCTGGACACGGAGAGAGAGGCGGTGAGCTTGTGTTTTATTCATTTGGTGGAGGTACTGGGAGACTGGTAGGTGCAACTCTGACAACCAATGTTTGCTCAAGTATAATTGGAACATAAAGAAAAATCCCCCTCCCATCTTCATTTGAACACACTCACTACCTTTCTGTACACATTTTTTCGAGGGGCATCATTGAGGGCAACATTGCCATTCATTTACAAAATAACTTGAACTTCATTTTTCTTTGCTCAATCACATTAAAACACATGAAAAACAAGCTTACGTTGCATCCACCCACGATTCCATCCCCGCCGGCACACACCATGCTGTCCCTGACAGCAAAACCCCACCAGTCAGGCTGGGAGCAGGTGGCATGATCAGCCACAGGCATCAGAGCCTGCTGCAGCTTATCAGCGATGGGGCCTCCAGCTAAAACACACAGGCAGAGTCTATTACCATCCACATACACTAGCCGTCTGTCAAATCTGCTTTATAGCATTTCCCCCGAGCCCCAAATTTTCAATTTAGAAGTAACCCCCCCACCACCTTCCTCGGGAAAAAAGTTTCTGCGAAAATGACATGAATGTGATTTTCGTCCCAACTTTGGAGGTTTCCCTGGGTAACTCTGATCACACAGACACTCACGCTAGTTATAAATCCAAAAAACATCACGCCGGCACACAAGTCTAGAACTCTTGAGGACACTAGCATGAAGACATTTCTGAGATGCAAAGCTGAGAGAAAATGCAATGACAGGCACATAAACACAGCAGCAGCCCTCCAAAACAACTTACTGTACAGCCTGCCCCATCCGGTGATGTAGCAGGGGTACAGGTTGGGGAGAAGAGTGCCGGCAGCAGGGATACATGCCAGCTGCACCTGGTTACTCAAAGTCACAGGCTCTGACAGCTTGATCAGAGCAATGTCGTTTCTGAAAGAAAGACAAGCAGAGAGAAAAGTCATTTATTTATTTATTCATTCAACCTTTAATTCTGAAGTATATTGAGGTAGACACACAAATAATAAACAGTAAAACAAAAGTAAAAGCCTTGGGAATAAATTAAGTTCATACAATGTTATTTGAAGCAAATGCATGAGTGCAACCTGTACTGTACCATATCTGCACATACAAATAAATCAACTGAAAGGAAAATCTTATCTCTCTAGGTTTCCACTGTGGGAAAAACTTGGCCAGCTGCGTATTTAAAGGTGAACAACGTCGTAGCATTTTGAAAAAGCTCCACTGTTGTCTTTATTTATGTTGTAGCGGAATCTGAGATGAATGAAGATGGAGAACTTGTGTCAAAAGCAGGAGCTGGACCGAAGTGAATGAATCAAGTCTGAGCCTCAGTACTCTTTGTCACATCGAACACCGACCGTATTAGATTATGATGGACTGTATGTCACAGCAGGAGACCCAGCCGTGCATTCTGTACTGTACACGCCGGTGCTTGTCTTACCCGAGGGCCACGAAGATGGAGTTCCATTTCTCATGGACAATCATCTTCTCAGGCAGGATGGCCTGAGAGGCAGGCTCCTCCTCCAACAGGTTGTGTTTGCCCACAAACACCCTGTAGGAGAGCTTGGTGCTGCAGGACAGAGCAGAGTTTTGAGGCCAGGGTGCAGAGACAATCTGATGATTTGATGAGTTAAATTTTTTTTTTTTTTTTTTGAGAGGGACATCATAACTTTTCTAACCCTCATTTCATCAAGGATTGTGAATAATTCAGGGTTGAGAATAAGATTAGTAGTGTGTTTCAGAAAAAGTACAATATAGTCACAATGAGATATTTTTGTATGTGATGTGTAAGGTTTTTTTTTGTTTGTTTGTTTGTTTATGTTCCTCTGCTGCTCGTACTTGATGCAGTGTGCAGCTGTCATGACCCAGTTGGCAGCAATCAGAGATCCCCCACACGTGTGCCTCCATTGACCGTCCCTCTCATACTGCAGGGAGATCTGGAGATGGCAAAGGACCCAGTAAGAGGCAGGTATGTGGATGCATGGACATGTCATAATTTGCTGATTTAAATAAAAAACACCATTTAAATATTTATAGCTTTTAATAACCACTGGGTCTAACATATAATAGCCAGATGCTGGACCCTCCAGACTTACCAGTAAATACATTTAAAAAAAAGACCATTGACAGATGTGTGCGTATATTAGCATACCTGCCAGGGCCAGCTGTGGGGCTTGGCATCGACTCCATTGACCACACGGGAATTCATGGGCTCAATGGATGGGGTGCCGCACCCAAGGGCTTCATAAGGGGGAGATGGTGGACATGTGTGGTGGACATGAGAGAGGAGAAAGAGAAATTATTTTATACTCCTACATCAGGCACAAACCACATTATTTTCCTTTTCAGTACAGAATTGCAGAGAATTGAGAACTGAGCTCCTTGTGTGGTGAGATTTGTGCACGCACACTCACTCACACAAATTTGAGAACACGCACAAACAATTCCACACAGACTTGGAGAATGCCAGATGTTCTTACCGCTAGCGATGAGCACTGAGGCCAGCACAATGGGGATCATGTTGATTGATGCTTCTGCTGAGGGACAGCAGGACACACACTCGCTTTTAAACTTTCCACCACAGGCAACGCCCGCTCCAAATGGGAGAAAACACTCTACTATTGGTTTATCAATGGTTTCCAGTGGGTGAAAATGGACCAATGGCAATGAAGGCCAGTACTCGAGTCGCACAGGTGCATTTTCTGGGACATTTCCCATGAACTCTGTGTCATGATAATGCATGCTCCACTACCATGTGTTGCACATGTGTGTTTACAGCTTTTTTTTTTTTTATACATACAGAGCATGTGTATTGTTTTTGCAGAATGCAGGAGGCAAATCATACATATGCTGCATTTAAACTTACCTTTACTGCTTTTCATGACAGTCTCTTCCCTGAAACCTGGGATTAACTGCTTGCATAACAGCATGGGAAGCCAACATCTGGATTACTGGCACTGACCTGTTTACTCCTTAATATAAAACAAAAATCAAACTAAGAGGCATTACGATGATAAATAACCAGGACAATGAGAAACAGATGGTGTCATCGGTGCAGATTATATTGACAGGAACGCCATCCTTTTTTTGGCATCTTACAACGTACACAGTGAAAATCTGCTGTGAATTCTGCAGCACCGGGAGAGTGAAAGGTTTTCCGTGACCAGATGTATAATCGAACATGTAACTCAATATGTTTCATATTGAGACATTCTCAGTATTTTTCTATACAGCACATTTGACAACATGAAGTTAAGTGCACCGCTCTAAACACTGACCCATGTATCATGAGGTTGGTAATAACTACCTGAACAAGCAGAAGTTTAATAAGTTATGAGACTTGGAGGGCACACACACAACTCCTGAGGTATGAAAATGTCAGAGTGTGCAGGCCTGAGGTGACTCAGCATGCAGACATAAATCTGTCAGAGGCAGCTTGGGTGAAATTCAACAAAATAAAGTTGAAGAAAATATGCAATAAGCATGTTGAGTCAGTAGAATAGGTGCTGAGGAATAGTCAGTGTGTGAACACAATGTGTTTGTTTATAATGATGTTATAATGAGAGAACTCTGTTTCGAAAAGATGATGTCACTGAGGCCAGATTCCCCTCCCCTGCTGTTTTAAGAGCTGTATCTCTGGACTAGTTCAACATTAAAAACAACATTTTCGTGATTCTCCTTCAGATGAACTCACTGGACTTTTTGCTCATGACTCGTTTAATTTCCCTGCTCACCACTAGATGGAACAATTTATCTGTTTAGACACCAAACTGAGTTATATTCTTTTAAAAAAAGACACAGATTTGTTGCTCTCTTCTGTATCTTTGCTGCAAGAAAACACATCTAAACTTTGTAAATTTAGCTCAATCTAACTGGGCTGCAGCATTTAAAAAAGAGGTCAGACCAGACATTGAAAATAGTACGAAGTCCATCGTACACCTCGTGGATGCTTTACAACTTAAAACTAATGAATTCACTGTTTTAATCCAAGTCTGGAAATGGTTACACATCTGTAGATTACAGACTAGAGAAAATACTTACACAAGAAAGGCATCAACAACAAGCTATCGACACATTCAGCCTGTGTGTATGTGTGTCTGAATGTGCTTGCTGTGCATGTGTAAGCTTCTCTAAAGCTGTGATATTCAATTAATGGAAAGCTAATTAAAATTACTCATCAAATCTGTAAAACATTGTTAAGCTTATTACAGAGCATTGTCCAGATGCTCCCTTATTTTCTGATTACAACTCTTGCATTCGTTAAATTCATAATGGGCAGATGACACAAGGTAACAAACTGAGGTTCACACTGAACTAGGATCAGTACATTAAACAGGAAAATAAGGTGAGACTAGATGAGGAAAATGTTCTCAGTTAAATGTTGGTCTAGTAGTAAAACATGTCAGCCTTACCTGACACTTATAACCTCTGATCACCAAAATCTGCTCCTTACTGCTGAGATATGTTTATTTGCAGTCAGATGCAGTGTTTTATGTTCTGAAATGAGGCTTACTATTATCACGGCTGATCAATGAGTGAACCCCCACCCCGGTGGTCTGTAACAGGTACACCTCAGCCTGCCTTCCCCTATCAGAGCAGCTGCTGAACTCTGAATGACACTGTGTGTGAGGTTTATGGTTGGTTTATATCACTTTCAGGCAGTAAACCCTGCCGGCCATTGCCATTCTCCATGTGGAGCAAAGGAGAAAGATTTTGCAATAATGTGTAAATATTATCGTGGCAGGTTGGGGCTGTTGGGTGCAGTCAGCTGTGGTTTTTAACTTGCATACCTCTTTGTATCCCACACTACCACTACTGGTGTGTGTTGTGCCTGAGCATAGTGCGCTGGATCTTTTGGTGTGTCGTGACAGTCTAATGTTCAGCCCATCCTGAGCCCACTGATGTCCACGTTGTGTAGCTTTTTTTTTTTTTGCCTTTAAGAATATACAGCTGTATTTTCCAGTGGCTGCTTTATTTGACACAGGCGATGTGTTTTGAGCCACGGGGCTGAAGTAAATCCAAACATCAGCTGTCTACTGCTGATTTGCTTTTATCACCATCCGTCCTACTGATGCTAACAGACGGCATCCCCTGCCTTTGCTTTTCAATTGTCAGTGCATATGTTTATTTCATTTTGATGTCTTTGTTTACTGCGGTTTTAATTCGCTGTTTCTCAACATGTTTGGCTTGTCGCGCCTCAAAAGCTCCCAGGTTGGGAGCTACTGATTTAATTAAATTTGATAAGCTGATCATGACCGAACTGGTCTTCCTACAGGTCTTGTATGCACTTGTCAGGTTTTTATTTCTTTCGTGTTTAGTGGGAGAGAGTAGCAGGGGAAGTGGCACTAGGTGCAACCATAGCGCGCTGCCTGTCTCACACACACAGTGTGTCTAAAAGTGCTTACAGCTTGAACAGTTTATCTGATCTGTAGTTTGTGCCTGGTATGCTCATGTGTCAGTAATTAAAAGGGTTTCTATAACAAATTAACTCTGAATTAATCAATTCTAAATGCATATGATAAGATGCTATTGACGTTTCTGCATTTTGTATCCACCTTACTCTGCTTAGAATGTTAAAAGCACAACCACACTTTACATTTTTTAAACACTAAATAGATAGTGACGGGCATCACATTTTTTTTGTCTACTCTTTCTACTTTCTTGTCATTTTCATTAATCCTTTACAAAAAGTGTTGCCACTTTACTGTATTAGTCTGCCTATTTTCACATATGAATGTTCTGCTTTTGAGTATTGTTATTCTGCACTGACACATGTCTCACATTAATACACAAATCTCTGAGGAGCTACTCAAAGTCAGTTGTTTTTAGAGCTGCCACATCTGTTTCTGACTTGGCCATGTTTTTCCAATTTGCAGGTTACTTGAGTGAACACTGAGTGTCTTTTAAGAAATATTTATTAACTCTTTTTAAACCTATATTTTAAAAGTTACTTTTGATTATTTTTCCCAAATGATGATTTGTTAGTTAGAAATTATGCAGGATATCAGCATTTCATATAATTTGATTTAGATAAAATGTGTAAAGGGACCAAGATTACATGACACAAACTGCAGAAGCTAGACAACTAGTGAGATTAGATAAATTCTGCAAATGTGCACAGTCTACGTGGACTACTAAAGGTCATTTGCAGAAAAAAACACTGTTTACATATATAGTATACAATAACAACAAAGACTAGATTGATGAAAAATAATTATAAATACTTTAAGCCTTGAAAACAGGGCCCTCTGTGTGTGGTGATTGAATGAACTCATTTTCTAAGTAGATACTGGAGAAATGTACTAAATGTATTTTCTTTGCTAACATTAAGAAATCTATTTGAAAGCCACACAATGCAAACAGTGGCGTGCATCATAAAGCAGTGGCAATTAGCATGTTTGCTTTCAATGCTTAGTCTCTACATCTTTCAGGGCTTCTTCCTGTGCTTTGTGCCAAGCTGATGTGAAGGATGTTTTGTGCAATCTCATAACCCTTTAGGCTTTCCTAAAAGATCGAATTGTTCACATCACCCCTATCATTTGATGTGAGAAAGAATGTTCCTCCATCTGCTTATAAAAAGCCTCATCTTTCAGAGACGCTGCGTCAAAACACCGAACCTTTTGTCCTTTGTTATCTAAATCAGCAAGTTGAAAAGTCCAATGAGATTGGACTATGATCTGAAACCAGAACAGGATGATAAGTGTCCAGATGAGTTAAGAATCAAGATAGAAATTAGTATAATTTTGTACTTGGCAAACAAGAAAAAAAACTTTCTGTAGGAGATAGTCTCCAAATATTCACATATATTATTTTTAAAAACTGTATTGAGTCGCAATGAGTTGAAAATATCTTATCAGAGTCAAAGAAGATTTCCATGTCTCTAGCAATTATAACCTTTTTATACAATCTTAACTTGGAATTGAAATGCCAAAGTAAATCAGAAAAAAAGATCACCACCATTGGGATCACTAAAGTTGTGAACTGGTTAAAAGGGATTTTTTTTAGCCTTAGCTACAAAATTAGCTTGATAAGCTTTGCCCAGCCAGCACACAAAGCATTGACTGACCATTGCTTGTCTCTTGCAGCAACATAATATCAGGCTGTAATGATTAAAGATGTGTAAGGACGTTTGACCCTTTTAATGGGATTACCTAGACCTGTTACCTTCGAACTAAAAATCCTTAATGTACCATTAAGTGAGTTGTATCTGGCCTTGACTTGCCTTAGACATGGCTGTTAGGTGGGCTTTTAGCAAACAAAACTACATTGACCTGTATTTGTCCCATCAACGCACAACACAACCAGAATAGCACTCTAAATGGTCCAAAGCTGAACAGTTCCTTTAGGTCCCCATAGGTTGCTAAGCTAGCTCCGATTTGCCCTGCTGCCAACAACTGGTGGTTAACCACTTTTGGTATTTGACATCTTCAGGTGTTTTTGTTTCTCATCTTTGTTCGGTTTGGCCTTTGGTCATTGTCTTGCATGTATCTCGGTGAGTGGAATGAATAACAAGAATGGTAGCTGAAAGGGAATATCTTAAGATTGACTTGAGGTCAGATT